GCACGACTCCTCGCGGGGGGGGGTCGTGTAGCCCTCTCACGCCACCGGACCCTCCACCACACGTCCTTCCCGCCTGCATTGTCACGTGACGACCATGTCACGTGCTCGCCCCCCCCACGTGGCTGACGCCATTCCCGATGCCATCCCCGATATCGCCGATATCACCGTTCGGGCTAGGCCACGTGGTTCCGTATTCATTCCTCCGTCATAGGCCCTCGTTAGGAGGCTGACGCCTGTATCTCCGTTTCTGCATTCATTCTCTTCTCTCGCCTTACACGCCGACAGGCCTGATTATCTTGAGAGCAAGCACATATTGACGTGAGCGAGTTGCAGCACATGGGAGTAATGATGGCAGATGAGCGTCGCATTGCTTACATGTAGATGATGCGATGAGTGTGTAGAAGCGCGGCGCGAGGTCAACGAAGTGCGCACCCAGTCAATTTCTTCAATGACGCGAGACAATCGTGTCATGGCTTCCATGCCGGTCTATTCCTCCATGTTACAGGCCCCCGCTGCATACCTCACATGCCCCGGCATGATGCAATGCACGCACTGTGAGACTCTGGCGTCTGGCAGCATGACGGTCGACGTTGTCCACCAAGGGCGACGATGCTCGCTTCGACTGGCTCGCAGCTCGCAGGCACTGTGGCACATTGTACGTCATTAGTTCGGCATTGCGAAATGTAAATTGCCGCTAATTGGTGATTAACCGCAACTCTATATTCCTAGTGGCCGATTTGGAAAACGCTTCGTCGCGTGGCAAGAATCCTGAAGTGCAATTCTAACCCCGTCGCCCTCATGTTCCCACAGTTCACCTTCCTCACGTCCGCGCAGCTCGCAGGCCTCCGGTATTCGACTTGATTTCTCCATCTCCCATCTCCATCTCATTCTCCCCCTTCCCGTCACTGTCAAGCACATGCTGCACATGCTGCACACTCTTTGAGCAGCAGCGAGCAGAAACCGCTCCGTCCCTCGTACTGTGATCTTCTGGCTGGCCACACTCCTCCCAATCCTCCTCAGCCCATACAGGGCCAATACCATCGTGAGTGTGCGGTGATCTGCTGCGCTCAGCTTCCCACCACGCACCACGGCTGCGGTCCCGCAGCTCCTTCCCGTTACAAGGTATATGCTCACAGACAGCATCCAGATACCAACGATGGACCTCTATACGACCTCGTTCACGTTCCACTGCTTGCCGGCGCGCAAGGGGCGCACACCCGCCAAAGGCTCCGCTTCCCCGCCCAGCCTGCAGCAGGACGCCGCCGCCGCTGAGCGCGATTGGGAAGCCGTCCAGAAGCTTTGCAATGATATTACTAGCCGTGAGGGCTGTCTCGTTACGGTTAGCCGCGATTCCGACCTTGATGGCCACGACGAGCGCCCCTCATCCCCCACTCCACCCAGCCTGTGGAACTTTCACATTTCAGGCGCGTACCAGGCCGTAATGAGTGCGCGTGGTGCTATCCTCCGCGAAACGCCAAGGGACAACCGCGCGTCACTCAAGGTGCCCAGAGGTGAGATCCTCGAGAAGCCTCTCGCCTCGGTCTCCCCACTCAAGGCCGACGTCAAGCGCCGTCTCGACAACATTGTGAACGACTCCCGCGCCAGTATCACCGTGCTCAATTCGGACGCCAGCGGGACACCCGGCTATGCTCAGGTTCTCGCCACCGCTGACCCAGATGAGGGCACGAAGGACTCTCGCGACGCATCGCCTCCACCAGGCGAAGAGGAGGACAAGGACGGCAGCTCCCCTCCTGCCCAGGCGCAGGCGTCGTACGGCCTTGAGACGGAGCGCATGTGCGAGCTTGTCATCTCTGGCACAGTTGAAAGCGTAGAGCTCGCCAAGGTCCGCCTCCTTGTCATGATCGACGAGCTGTCGGGCCTTCACTCGGAGGCGTGCGATATCGACTACAAGCTTCACGCGATTATTGCTGGACGCAAGCGCTGCGTCATCCAGGGTATCCAGGAGGAGACTGCGACCAACATCTACTTTCCCACACCACTGGTAGGCGTTCTAAACCCACCCCAGCCGGGCTCGCAACAGGGCATGGGCTACTCGCGCGGTAACATGTATGGCGCCGCCATGTCGCCTCAAATGACCGGCATGAGTTACAACGGCATGAATATGGGCATGCCTGCCGTGCCTGCACCCCATCCGCCTCATCAACAGCACCAACACCAGCACCAGGGCCACCCACGCAACACCAATCAGCCGGTGTACAACCCCCAGCAGCACGTGCACTACCCCTACTCGCCGCAGCCTCTGCACATCAATCCCCAGCAGTCGAGGGGCATGCCGTATACCGGTCCAGGCGTACAGCAGTGGTCAATGCCGACGGGCCCGCAGCACACTCCTCACGGCGGGGCCCACCCCCACGGCCCGCCACCTCCGCATGGCCAAGGCCCGATGCAGATGGCGCCTGGAATGAACGGACATGGACCCGGCTTCGGCGCACGCGGAATGGGAACGCCGATGGCGCATGGTCAGCCCATGGGTCAGCCCGTCATGGGCATGGGTCCCATGGGCTACGGACAGAGCCACATGCACGTGAGCATGGGGACGGCGCCGATGGGGGGGATGCCGCTTGGCCCTGGAGATATGGGGATGGGTCAGTTTGGGCAGGGACCTCATCCGGGGTTATCGGTCCACAGCGGCGAGCAAGGCATGCTTGGAAAAGCAAACCAGATCTGGATTACAGGCGAGTTCTTCGGCGTGCAGCGCGCTCGTGACATGCTCCTTTCCGTCGCCGTGCAGAAGAGTAAGCTCGTCATCTCACGGGACACTGCAATCCTCCCACGCAAGCTTGACTGGTTGCTCACTGAGCGCATCGACGACATCCGCAACATCATGTGCGACAACGGCACGTACATTCAGGTTCCCAGTGTCGGATCGCAGGCCAGCTTGATAACGGTTTTCGGCGACCACCGTGTCAATATCGAGCGCACGATCCGGAGCGTCATGGCTCTCGCTTGCCAATTTTACGTTGCTTCGTTCTGGCTCCTGCCAGTGTCGTTTGACGTGCTCATGCCTCAGGCGACGCTTAACCCACCGCAGATGCAGCCGGTGCTCAAGCGCATCTCTCACGCAACGGGTGCGGAGGTTGTGTTCAAGAGCAACTGCTTCGAGATGCACGGCCTGGAGAAGGAAGTGCGCGACGCGGTCGTGCAGGTTCTAGAGCTGGACGTCATCAAGTCGTTCCACCACGAGATCCGCTTCCAGATCGAGTTGGCCAATGAGCATCGCGAGTTCATCAGCGGCAAGAAGAACGGTAAAATCAACAAAATCATGAAAGTGTGCGGTGTGCGCATCAAGTTTGAGACGTTCAACGACTATAATTTCCTCATGGACATTAGCGGGCAAGACATGGCTGCACTGCAGGGCCTTACTATGCTTCAAGAGGAGCTACCGGCCGAGGTGTCCTTCCACGTACCCGAAAGCTACCACAAGCGCATCATCGGCGTGGGTGGCAAGAATATCCAACGCATCATGAAAATGTACGGCGTCTACGTCAAGTTCAGCAATGCCGAGGAGTTTGCTCAACTCGGCGGGTATCTCGACAACGAGGACAACGTGGTGGCTAGGACACCCGCCAAGAACGCGATCGCGCTTGAGTCGCTCAAGACGGCCGTAATGGATCTTGTCTCGCCGAAGGACAAGGACTACACGGTGGACAGCGTGACGATCCCACGGCGTTACCACCGCACTCTGCTGGGCGAGAAGAGCATTTTTATCCACGACATCGAGCGTAAAACCAACTCCACCATCCGCTTCCCCAACAAGGAGACAGCAAGTGACACGGTGACCATCTTTGGCCCCGAAAGCCAAGTCCACATTGCCGTGGCTATGCTCCTCGACCACGTCCCCTTTGAGGCAGACCTTCATGTTCCCCCGAACCCGGAGCTCACTCGTCTTGTTGCCAGCAAGGAGTTCGTTCTCTTCACCGAACGTATGAAGCGCGACCACCAGATTGCCATTTCGCCATCTCCAAGGTTCGGGCAGGGTGACGAGGCTGTCTTAAAGTTCCGCTGCCAGCGCAGTAGCATTGACTTCCTCTCGACCGTGCACGACGCACTCGTCGACTTCCTCGCCGGACACGGCATCCAGGTGTATCCGCCGCACGCAGCGAAGCGACCAGACCCTTTTGCGGACGCCTTCACCCACTTTGACTCAAAGCTTCTACAGACGGGTAAGGAAGACCGACGTGGGGTCAAAGCCCTATTCGACAGCGAGTACCAAGGCTTCGCGGGCCCCCTGTCCTTCCATGTTCCCGTTTATTGGCAACCGGGCAGCGGTTCAGCTCACCACGGGCAGTCGGTGGGGATGACTGGTACGGCGGTGGGTAGTGGCTCTGCGCCATCGTCTGCTGCTCCCACCTCAGCCGCCTCCGATGGACCAAAGCCCAAGCCTCCCAAGCCAAAGCGTACGTCCGACGTCGAGGACAAGCGTGGGCATGCGCACAACCACTCGCATTCTCATGGGCCACCCCAGCACCAGCACGCACTGAGTCACGGGCACGGTCACGGCCACGGGAACCCTGCTCGGGCCGTGGGCGCGAGGACACAGAGTCTCGACATAACGCAGCTCAACTTTGCACGCGCGCTCGGGGGACCTGCACCGAGCTTCGCGCCTGTGCCGCCGAGCCCATCCCAGAGCCCTGGCAATTACGAGCGGCGCTACGCCGGCACCGTTGACGGGGTGACGCAGAGTGAGTTGGCTGGGCGTGACTTGCAATCTCGGAGCTTCGTTTCCTCAATCTGCGCTAATGACCAGGTCTCGCCAACGTCCAAGTGTCCCACTCATAGCGTCTCATCACTAAATTGACATCAACCTCATACCATTCCGGTCGTCCGGGACGCACTTCGATTCTCCACACATGATGCCCGTCACACTCTCGTTACCCTATGTACTCCATCACCCTGCACCCTCCCATTCCCCCACCAATCCATTCCCTAGTCCCCCATCACTTCCACTGCCTGCCTATCCATGTCACCTCCTGTCTCACAGCTGGTAAAAACGCATCGGACCCAGGATGCGATGCATTCGTGTCGTGTACAATCTATGAGGAATGTGGTGCAATGGAGAGAGGGAGAGACTCAAGTGTTGTGATGATGATGCTGGGATTTGGCAATTGTTGACACGATAGTAAGGCATCGCCCTACTCCTTCGTGTTCTTCTCCTTGACGCGATCGCGGGCCTCACGGGCCGCCTGCGCACTCTGCGTCGCCTCCTTCTGCGCCGCAGCCTCGGCCTCAGCCTTCTTCGCCGCGCGGTCGCGCCAGTGCTCAAAGACCTTGCCAGCCATGTCAAACGCGCCGAGCTTATAAACCTCATCCGTAAAGCGGCTAAGGGCACGAGCTTGCGTCCCATTCTCGAAGCTCTGGTAATATTGTGTCGCGAGGTTTATAGGTGGCGAAAGGACACGCTCGACGTTGCGCGGAAGGTTGATGAAGGGCGAAAAGATCGACGTGAAGGGGATGTGGAGAAGACATCTGCCGTTAGCGCGATCAGCAGGAGGCGACTGGCACTGCGAGACGTTGTAATGCCCAGGAGCATTGCAACGGCCCACGTTTCCAACCAGGCGCGCCACATGCCGCATGACAGGCCACCGCCATGAGTGGAATTGAACTCACCCTGCCTCTCCCCAGTCCATGTACTCCCACCCCTCGCTCCGTCGGCGGAGCTTCTCGGGCGCCCAGCGGCTCACAGCCCCGAAGTCGTACTGTCCGTCATCGGCATCCAACTCCTCCATGTATCGACCCACGACGCCCTCCGGTGTGCCCTTGACGTAGATGAACGAGTAGGGGGCAAGACGGGCGCGCCATGCGTCGAAGAAGCCGGCGATGGAGGGGGTAGAGCTGGTGGAGGATGTTGACGAGGAGGGGTCAGAAGCGGGGGAGAGCTTGGCGAGCGCCTGCGCTTGAGTAAGCAGGGGGTCGCGTCGACGGAGGCAGAGCATCCTGCACATCGCCGGTGCGCCGTCGCGCTGAGAACACCAGGAAAGGCACTTTTCGGGGATGCGGGGGCGGCGCTGGCGATGTGCGAGAGGCAGCATGGGCAGTTGGCGGAGCATGTCGGTAGATGGGTGGTGAGAGTGGGGGTCGGAGGAAGGTGGGGCGGACATGGTGTACAGTAGAAAAGTGTGCAGGGAGCTTGGCGCGAGTTGAATGCGATGTGGACGGCGTGTGTATGCAATGAACGAACGAGTGCAGGTGATAACGAGCTATGCTGAGGATTGAGGCGAAGACGAGGACGAGAGGCGGGAACTCGGACACGAGATTACTGTGGACTGGGTCTTGAGAGGAGCATCGACGCGCGAGTGGCGGCAACCTCGGTCAGAGTCGGGTGGGTGAAAGACCGAGTGGTGATAGATCGGAAGCAGATCCACGTGGAGACACGTGATATGCCGAGGTGCCACGACGCGCTCCAGGTCATGTAATTGACGCGAATCTACTTTCGCCTTTCACATTCACTCCAACTCGATCTCGTGGTATCCAACGCGCACCGGCGACATAATGAACATGGACATGGTCGGATACCTCAACACCGCACAGGACACTGTGCGGAATCTGCGCGAGACTCGCCTCGGACAGCTGCGGCACCCGGCTGAGTTCTTCGACTACCAGCGCGTCTCGAGGCCCAAGGACATGGGCGAGTACATGAAGCGCGCGGGGTACAACATGTGAGTGTGCCCAGCTTTCGCGGTGAACCGTGACTGGAAAACGACCAATCGGTGCGGGAAGTGGCGGGGGTGGCAGCGGGAGAGGGCGCAGGTGGAGGAGCCATTATAGACCAGCACCTTACTTACTGCGTGCGGTGCACTATGTCCAGTGCTCGCTACCGTGGGCAGCATTCACGTTGATGGCCACGTCAACAATTTCACGCGATGGGCGGAAAAGAGGTCTTGCAAACATCCGCATTACCCCCACACGTTCCGCGCCGGCAATGAGGCACGCTGATCCCAGCCGCTATTTCTCGGCCAACTACGCGATCATCGTCGCCCTTCTGTCGGTGTACTCTCTCCTCAGCTCGCCGCTCCTGCTCATTGCTCTGGTCTTCCTCATCGGCGGCTTCATCGGTATCAACCGATTCTGTAAGTGCCAGACGCATCTGCGTCCTGTCGGATTGCATGCTTTGCCGCGGTGTCGCACCAGAGCCAGGCACCGCTCTGCACCGCAACTAGCTGACCGCAGTCTCGGAGCCGTTCGAGTTCCAGGGCCGTACGATCACCCCTCAGAACCTCTACATCGGCCTCTTCCTCATTGGTAAGCTTGCCCAGAACGCGAACATTGAAAGGTACTGACCCTAGGCATTCCTCTTCTGTTGCTCGGGGGCCCGATCAGCGCATTTTTCTGGATTGTAGGTGCATCCGGCGTCATCGTTGGCGCGCACGCGGGCCTTCTGGAGCCGGGTGTTGAGTCCGAGTACGAGGGCATCGAGACTGTGTAATGTTGTACACTACATACCCCTACTCCATGCCAGATCCTAGATACTAGAAGTTGGAACCTCAGGGAGGATATTTGAATGGAACGCTGGCTACATCCGGACCACTCCACAGCGATGCAGCTAATCGGTTCCGCTGGTGGCAATACATGATTACTGCATAAGTACATATGCATTAGACATATTGCTAGACCGCCAAGTACTCCATAAATCAAACCGCAGGCCAATTTGGTCTGGACCAAACCCACCGCGCCCACCGGTCATGCTGGTCATGCTGGTTATTACCCACTCCAATCGCAATTGGCATTTGTTTTGAAGCTGGGCGAACAACCAACCAACCAAAAGGCTCAGATCCATGACGTAGAGATAAGTTCGAGCCGGAACTAGCTGAGATAACCGCCGATGAATACGAGCCCGCCCTGCACTTGAGTACTGGAGTGAATTAGTTTCCTCATCATCTCCTCGTCCTATTCCCCTCCTCAATCTCTCCGCTTCGTCGTTATGGCCGCCCCCGTCTGCCAATTCCAGAACCAGCTCTCGTCCTCAGCACCTGCCCATGCGCACGAGGGCGGACATGGGCACGCCCACGACCACGACCACGGGCAGGAGCATGGGCATACTCATGAGCACCTCGACCATGCCGGTGAGTGTCTCGCTGGTGTTGAAGGAGTGAGGTGGAGCTGACGCTCTCCTTTCTCAACATCCCTCAATCTCGTGTCCTCCTACGTTTGCCGATTACCCTTGCGTGTTCGCTGCAGGCAAGTACTCGGAGCGCGAACTCCCCGACTACTCTGGCCGTGACTGGAGGGAGCGCGCGTTTACCGTCGGCATCGGTGGCCCCGTCGGGTCCGGCAAAACTGCGCTCCTTCTGGCCCTCTGCCGTGCACTGAGGGAGAAGCACAACATCGCCGCAGTTACCAACGACATCTTTACGCGTGAGGACCAAGAGTTCCTGATTCGCAACGAGGCGCTCCCGAAGGAGCGCATCCGCGCCATCGAGACTGGAGGGTGCCCCCACGCCGCGATTCGTGAGGACATCTCGGCCAATCTCCATGCCCTCGAGGAGCTCCAGGCCGAGTTTGACACTGAACTGCTGTTCGTGGAGAGCGGCGGCGACAACCTTGCTGCCAATTACTCGCGAGAGCTCGCAGACTACATCATCTATGTTGTGCGTACTATCTAGGCGCTGGCTTGAATGCGTCCGAACCTAGTTGACGCTAGATTGACGTAGCTGGTGGCGACAAGGTGCCCAGGAAGGGCGGGCCTGGCATTACTCAGTCGGACCTGTTTATCATCAACAAGGTGAGTCTGAATGCGGTGGGGAGTGATGTAGAGCCGGCGAGCGCGTCTGAGCGGGCTGGTGTCACCTGTGATGCAGGGCAAGAAGCAACGACGGTGTGCACCTCCTCCACGGCTCTTCACCTCGGCAGCTGGCAGCGTCCAGATTTGCTGTCCCCGCGCGCTCCCACATCTAACTCAAGATTGACCTGGCGCCACATGTCGGCGCGTCGCTCGAGGTCATGCGCCGCGACTCTGCAACCATGCGCGAGAGCGGCAGCACCCTCTTCACGTCGGTGCGGCAGGGCGATGGCGTGGATGCGGTCGTTGAAGCCATTCTCTCTGCGTGGAAGGTAAGCGGAGCAGTTGGCAAGAACAAGGCGCAGTCAAGCGTGTGATCGCGTGTAAGGGGCAAGGGGCCTTCCAACGGCTGAGCAGCGGAAGCAGATGTGGAGGGAGATGGACGCGTCTTGGTCAGCTTGCCGCAGTGAGACAGCGAGTATGCATGAGTTTTCCAGCATGCAGCACAAGTGATGTTGGACACGTAGATGCGCTCCGTACGGTCACTGTGGATGTGAGGTTGTAGTGTGCTATTGTGATGAGTTGGAGTGAAACAGAAAGAATCGCACTACTTTGGTCATTCCACACGGTTGCTTTGTCCACAACATCCTCTCAACTACTCCGGCACTCGGCTCTCACCCTCCTTCTCCAACCTGCCTTCCAGGTCCTCCCCATCGCTCACACCTCCTCCTTCTCTACTTCATTCATCGCCTTCTCGACGCAATCGTCTCGCCTCTATTCTACACCGCAGCCGCCAAGCGATCCCCCCCGCAGCACTAGCTCTGTGCATAGTGTTCGCGCAGCGCGATACCCGCGGCACTGCGCCTATCACGCGTCGCTGGTCGTACCGCCGCTCTATATCTTTCCACGTTCATCGCGGGCGCCGTCTCCTCGGACACTCTTCACCTGTCCGTCGGTCTCAGGCCTCCCTTGTCTCGCATCGCATTTGCTGTGTCGAGGTTCGGCTTGCCCGCCTACATCATCATCAGCTCTCTCCTTCCCCCTCGCACCAGCGTTGCCTTTCTCGCTGCGACGCGTGACGTGCTCCGAGTTCGTCTCACCTGGTCCTTAGCAAGGTCCTCAAGTAAGTGCATGCTGCGTGCCCTGTGGCCCGCACCATCGCGCACCTGCAACCCAAGTGTGATTACATGCTCTGCGTGTCGCCAGCATGGGTGGCCAAGGCGCGTCAGCTCTTTTATTACATTGCGATCATAATTTCGCGTCGCTAATGCCACAGCCGTTCAACATGTCTCACTACACACCACCAGGCTCGGCGAACGAGGACATGGCCGGCCGCTCTGGAGTGATCTTCACGCTTGGAGGTCCTGTACTCCAGATGCAAGATGCCGTCGTCGAAACCGTGTATGTGTCTTCCTCGTTCCCAGCAGCTGACAAGTAGCGTTACCCATACACGCCGCACTACGACTTCATTTGCGCCTATTCCACTCCCCCGCGTCCCCGTCCCCGAGTCCGTCCCCATGCCCTCCCACCTCACGTGGGAAGAAGGGTATCCGCTCGCATCAGAGCCGACTCCAGAAGATCTCAGGTTGATTGAACTAAAACTCGGTGACCGCAAAGTCATCCTTCAGGAGGATGGCCATGTGTTGCCGGCACACCAGGTGCTCCAGAAGACTCTCAGCGGACCAGGCTGGACGCGCGAACTATCATCGGCGCGCTCCGAACCGGAACGCGTTGAGTGTATAGACCATCCGGTCGAGATGGGCTTCACGGAATACGTCACAGCCAAGGGGAAGGAGAAAGAGACGTCTGGCTACAAGCGCCCCCACGTCTCGAGCACGCCCCTGCGTATCGACTCGGCAGTGGCGCGCCCGCGCTCGCCGCCACGCAAAAAGATCCGACCTAGCGAACGCATGATGCTCGACGATGGCGTGCCTGTATCACCGCCTTCCTCGCCGGACGACGACGGGAGGATCAAGGCAGAGTCGCCTCAGATCGGCTCGGGTCTTGAGATCGCCGCGCTATTCTCCCTCCCAGCCCTCCTCACCCACTTCGAGAAGCTGCCCGATAAAGTCCAGCAGCACGTGCTCATGCACATGTTCCGAAGGTCGCGCATGCCCACGATTCAAGCTATCTCCGCATTCGCATCGACTGCGCTCAAGCGTGACTTTATTACACTCCTGCCCCGTGAGATTGCAGTGCAGGTGCTTCAGAAGCTCGATGTCAAGAGCCTCGCAGGGGTCGCCACCGTGAGCAAAGCATGGCACAAGATGATCGATCAGGAGCGCTCCGTTTGGCGGTCTCGTCTTGTCGAGGACGGACTGTGGTGCGGCCATGGCGTTGAGGATGAAGAGGAGCAGAGCATTCGCCGACGATACGAAGCACTCGATCGCAAAGGCGGCGGCTTGCGACCGCGCGTGTCCAAGGCCGGGACGCCTAACGAGGACGAATTTGTGTCCGTCGATCGCCTTCGGATCTTTGATCGCGCCTCGCCAACGCATCGAGTTGAGCACCCAACCTCTCTCAAGCATGTCTACCGTAGGCGATTCACCAGCAGTCGCAACTGGCTTCATACGACGCCTCACCACACATCTTTTGCAGGCCACGGCACCAATGTTGTCACGTGTGTCCAATTCGACGAGGATAAGATTGTCTCAGCGTCCGACGACCACTCGATCAACATCTACGACACGGCAACGGGCGCGCTGCGGAAGCGCCTGGACGGACATGAGGGTGGGGTATGGGCCCTGGAATATAAAGGCGACACGCTGGTCTCGGGCTCGACTGATCGTTCTGTCCGAATCTGGGACCTCGAGGGCCTCACGCAGACTCACACGTTCGTAGGTCACACCTCGACCGTGCGCTGCCTTCAAATCGTTGAGCCCGTGTTCGACGAAGCGACTGGCGAGTTCCAGCCGCCGTACCCCCTCATCATCACTGGATCACGCGATGCCTCGCTGCGCGTTTGGAAGTTACCCAAGAAGGGAGAGCCGGCGTACTTTGGTACTGGGGATAACAGCCAGCCCCCGCCTCCTGACGAGAACCCTTTCCACGTCCATCATCTTGAGGGTCACGGCGAGGCCGTGCGTGCGCTCGCGGCACACGGCAGAATTTGCGTTTCTGGTTCGTACGACAAAACCGTGCGAGTGTGGGACATTGTGAAAGGAACTTGTATCCATGAGCTGCATGGCCACGAGGCCAAAGGTGAGCTCTCGTCTATACCACAGCTAACCACAGTATATTCGATCGTTTATGACAAGTTCCGCAACCGATGCGCTTCTGGATCCATGGACAACACGGTCAAGATCTGGGACTTAACGAGCGGTGATTGTCTGAGGACGTTGACTGGCCATACGTCACTTGTGGGCTTGCTGGGCCTGTCTCCCAACCGCATCGTCTCCGCTGCAGCGGACGCTTCTTTGAGAGTATGGGACGCCAACTCGTACGAGCTCAAGCACACTCTTTCCTCGCACGCCGCGGCGATCACCTGCTTCCAACACGACGAGACGAAGGTCGTGTCGGGCAGTGATGGCACACTCAAGCTCTGGGACATTAAGACGGGCCGTTTCATCTGCGACTTGATCACCGGCATTTCATCGGTGTGGCAGGTCGCTTTCAATGGGGATTTGCTCGTAGCGGCGTCCAACCGCAACGGCAACACAGTGTTCGACGTATTCGACTTCGGCTACAGCGACAGGGCGAACCGCGCGAGCGTCGACGATGCTAAGCTGGATCTACTGCGCCGTGCACCATGGGAGCGCGGCAACCCGCGTGAACCGCAAACATATCAGGTCGAGGATGATGAGTGTGACGACGACGTCTTCTGCGTTGGGACGCAGGATGCTCTTTCGCCTAGAACGCATGAGAAGTGGCGTGCGATGAGCGTTCGTTCGCAGCGGCACGTGCAGGCGGCGCACGCACGGCGTGGCCGCTCACGCGTCACATCGGTAGGATCTAGTGGGGAGCCGTCCATCTCGAAACGTTCAACGCGCTTGGGCATCGCTTTCGGCGACCGCGTGCGAGAGGGCGACCGCCTGTCTGCACAAGAGATAACCGACCGGCTTGAGCGCCTGGCCAGGGTGCACAGCGAGCCGGGCCCGCGCACACGAATAGGGACGTGGACGCATATGTTCCGACCCGCCGAGGCGAGTGCGATCAGCGGAGGTCTCGGCAGTGGTAGTGGCACGGCAAGCGCGCAGGGTGAGGTAGAAAGTGAAGACCCGCAAGGGCTATTCAAGGAAGACGTCATAATGGATGACGACGAAACCATGGAGTAGATGTGGGGTTTAGTACTGTCAAGAGTTTGTAGCAACATAAGAGTGCAGGGCATGGCATCATCATCATTATCACACTGCACTATAGCTCCCACCCCTCCGCGAGCTGTTCGAGGGGCGCACTGTTACTCCAAACATCCCGCCCAACAAGCTTAGCAACGTACTCGCCTGCGGCCAAGGAGCTGGTCAGCCCTGGGCTGGCAAACCCGAGACACTCGACTAGCCCCTTGCGCGTGGGCGCATGTCGCACGATGAAGTCAAAGAAGCCTGCACCTGGAGGACGAATGTTGGGCCTAAATCCAGCATAATCAGGCGCCAACTTGGACGCATCGATACCTGGGAGGTATCGCTGTGCGGCCTCCGCAATGGATGTCAGGTTACCCGCAGATGGTGCGAGATATTTGCCCTCCTGCCAGTAATCAGGATTCGCGGCGGAGTGCTGCGCGGAAAGCAGAGGCTCGGCGTCAGGACCAAAGCGTATGTTGCCATCCAGGTCGAAAGTCAAGTGCGTTCCCAGAGAATCAAGCGATGCCGACGGGCACGGGTAGATGAGGTGCTGCACATTGGCGCCAGGTCCAGTGTACTTCATGTAGTTGCCTGCTGTTAGCGCGGCCACATTTGCGTGAGTAGTGCCCACCTTTCGCGATCCACATTTCCCACCGCTCCTCCTCTGGTAGGATTTCGTTGACTAGTGAGGCCGCGTTCAGGCCCGCAGCATCAACCACCACGCTCGCGTGGACAGCCTCGACGTCGCCCTTCTCAGCGCCGCCCCACCCGCTCTCAAGCTGGACGACCCAGCCACCGTCCTCAGCGGGATCGATTCGAACAACCCGGGTTCCGCGAACGATGACTCCCTCTCCTCTTTCCATCTTATTCTTCCCCGAGTTCGCCAACCCCACACCTACGCCAGAGTGGGAAGAAGAGGAGAGATAGTCATCCTCCTCAATTTCTCGCGCCAGACTGTCCACGAGTCCGGCGCTGTCCACAATGCCTGTCTCTGTGACGAGAAGCGCTGCACAGACGTCCGGGCTAAGGTCAGGCTCAAGCTCGCGTGCCTCCTGCCCGCTCAGAAAGTAGGCAGGAATGACGCTGTCTGGCCGCCTAGCAGAAGGTTCGCGCCCCGTCGAGAACGACGGATGCTGAGTGTGCGTCGAGAGGGTGTCGAGGTAGGGGATCTGCGTCCTGTCGGTCGCGACAATCAGCTGAGGTCAGGCTGCGGCACTAATTGAGCAGTACACCCACCTTGCCTGTTTTACGGTGTCTAATGTCCAGCGCAGCGCAGCGTTCGTACAACAAGTCTCGGCCGCGGATGCACAAGCGCGATTTCAGGCTGCCCACGGGGTAATAGATGCCTGCCGTCAGCTGCGACAGAGAGCCGGATCGCACCAGAGTGGATGACTTCAGAGTTGCGCGCGCTTCAATTAGCCTTGTATCACTCTGACCTACGTGTTCTCCTGCCCCAGCTGTCGTTAGCCTCGCAGTCGACAAACGCACCAGTCCCCGGCGCTCGACAACAAATGTCGTGCGGGCACCAGCAGTGTTCACTAGCCCCGCGCCGATCGCAAGCCCTAGCACGCCCCCACCGACTACCAGGTGGTCCACAGACGCCGTTGGCGAACGAAAGGGATAGCGTTGCCGCAGAAGGGCTGCGTAAGTTTGGGCAGCCATCAGGTGTAAGAGGAGTATGTGGTGGCCGGATACAAGCGTGCGTGCCAGAGACCATGGTTGGTCGGAGATGGGCGGTGGAGGTGGAGGTTGATACAGTCACGTGATATGTAGCGATGCTGAAGAGAAAAATCAGCCTCATCAGCTGTGAGCTGTTGGGAAGCATTCATCGTCTGCAGACGAATCATGGTCAGCTCAGTCGTGGTAAGCGACGCAAAGCCGCGCAAAAGATATGCATTAGGCCAAACGCACTGGCTAAGGGAAAGAACGACGGGGTGCTGCCGACCCCATAGCTGCGTGAGCTTTGCGCTGAGACGAGGCAAGAGGGCAAGTGAGCATCATGGCGATCATCCCAGGTAGATCATTCCCTGCCACAACGTGACGTGACCTCGCTTGTGGCATCCCTTCAGCAGAGAGGCGGCTCCCGTAACCCTGTGATCGCCGCAGCAGTTCGAGCAAGCCTCCTGCGCGTGGCTTCTTTGTGCGCACGGGCATGAGGCATCCACGAAGGGCGATCACCACGGCATGCTTCGGCGAGCCTTCACGCGTTCGCGGCCCGGCGGACCAATCCAGACTTTGCAATATTCTGCAATCCTGCCGAGGCCACAAAGCCGGGGAGAGGACCCCTGAATTTTCCGACATGCCGTGAAGCTGACGTGACTGAATTGCTGTATCTGAGGTTGCCTGATCCACAACTCTGGAGTCTTCGACCGTTCTGTTCCTGCTTTTGCAAGATGTATCGTTCCATTACTCCGGGTGTATTCCAATCGTCTTTACACGGGCGCCGAGTCGTGAATGACATGGACCATGCCCTCCAATGCTGCGACGTTTCTCCGCCAAGCCTCCGCTCGCCAAGGTTCCTCCATTCTCCTCCGACCGGCTTTACCGCTCGGGTGTCTTTGCACCTTCCGAATGTCCGCCCGTCTCTGACAACGCTGCCCTTTGAACGAGGTTGTGCAACTGAACGTGATTGTTAACTGTTCTCGTGGGAAGCAGAAGCTGTATTGCCCTCCCGAGTGGCGGAGATCCGGCACGTGCCCACTGTCTCAGACATTCATTAGCTTGCGCACCTGTCCATTGGTCCCAACCCAGTGCATTCACCATGCACATGACGCCGCTCAGGCACAGCCAGAGATTGAATAGTACCTCCTGCTCCACACCGACAGGTTCAGTGCCTCTTCAAGCTGGCGATGGTCGTCCCATGTTGGCTCTAGAAAATGGAGGACGTGCCGTTAATTCCCATCGCACGCGTCACGTCGGACAGAGACGCGGGTCGGCGTGAGTGGTAAGTAGAAACTCAATGTGAGGCAATACTCCCTCCCCTACGGGCCCGACGCGGGGGATCGACAGCGGGGTGGATGGCGTCTCGCAGAGGCGCATCTCCCGCCTCCCGTGATCGACAGTGATGCACCCAAGACCGCCACTGCACCGGGTCAAAACCGCCACTATGCAGGGCAGAGCCGGCGGCTCGCAAAGCCGTATTATATCCGGCCGCCGGTAATTTGCCCCGGTAAACCTCCCCTATGCCCCGCGTACAGTCTTATGGAGCATGGAGAATGATCGACATCCACTGTCAGACTTCACGGACGAAAGAGTGGAGACGGGCCTGATTACTCCAAACCAGGAGTCTTGGTGAGCTTGGACACTGTCGCCTATAGCTTGCTGTGGTGATTACACCCTTGTTGGCACGGTTACTGTGGCCGTCTTTTCAATGCAGAACAAACTCCTTCGCGTCAGCAGTGCTAGATTCTCCAAAATTGTAGTACCGACGTAAGGCAATACCCAGAACTCCGGGTAAGACCGCAGGTCCCGACTCGGAAGTTCATGTAGATACCTAACTGAATCTGGGGCACATATGGAGACTGATAGCGAAGCCGAGTGAGTTAGTCTCCATCATGAAATCGCCGGGAGATCCGGTGACTTCCGCGGCGGAGCTCGCCGCTTAACCTCTGACTAAATTGGTTACAGCGGTCAAAGCCGTCGAGTCCCTCACCTTGATTTACTTCGCGGCGTGAACCCTGCGCAGCGGGCTTTGCCCAGGCGTCTCCGTAGCGAGTCGTTTCAAGCTGAATTGGGATCTCCCCTCGCCTCTTGCCCGACCAGGATAGCATTTCCTGGACTCTTCCCGTGTGCATGTGCCATTAAAGTGGAGCTGATGCAGGGACTGGCTAATGCAAGGGGCGGACAATGGCGCATCGGCTACGAGATGACTGTAGCTATTTCGAAGCTTTGGAACCCGGCCATAGCCGGCGGGATTCCGCAACTTGTGCCGTAATCTCGCCCGGTCGCAGCCGTGAAGTTGCGGCGGACGCCGCCGCATCTTATTGCTTCTGCGTCATCGAGCACATGTTACCCACAGTCTGGGCTCTGGTCGTGAGATCCAGATCTGACACATTCATTTCGGAAGTACGGAACTGACCGTAAGCATGAAGTATGGGCTGCATTAACCCCCGGCGACTCACCCGATCGGCCTCGCAAAGGAATGAGCGTCGACGTATGCAGACGCATGGCCGAGTGGTCATTAACTCCTCGGATCCAGACGCCCTGCTCCACAATTGAGCTTCAGCATACTTCCTGACGCGCATGATCGAGCTCGCACGAGAACGGGGTCGGGGTCTTGCCCGCCTCGGTGCACTCGCATTGCCGCAGGACCGAAATGCGGCCGTGTTGTGGCGTACTGGGCGTTCTGCCTCGAGGTGCATCCACGCGGGCGACGATACCAACACATGGGTTGGGTCAGGTACCAATCGCAGTGCATTAAACTGGACGCAGTTGTGAGGACGGAAAGTTCAAACGTGCTTCGGGCGCTAGCTGGCGCTGTGACGCACCAGAGGCTACGCGAGCCCTGGTTAGTAACCGCACTGTGGGCCAGTGCTCCGCGACTGCTGGTCGTGAGGATGTAAGCGCTGCAAAAGCCCTCCAGCACATGGGCATCGTATGCAAGCAGAGAGACGGGTCAGGTGTTAGCACGCCAGTTGTTGACGGGCAATCGTTCACTTGTCGCTCGTCCGAAGCGGCTCCGTCTTGACGCTTCCAGTCTAGATTGGGAGGAGCGTCTCCGGATCCGGGAGAGCACATCCGGATCCGAACGGAGAGTTCGGATCCGAGGTGTGGCTTCTGACGAACCAGATTCACTGACTACAAGCTTAAGCCTTGTCCTGGAACCCCGTCGTGTTCTCCTGGAACGACAAAGAAGGCAGAGATGAGGAGTGCGTACAACGTTTGCCGAGCCGACACGTCGTACGCCTCAATCGCCAGCCAGGAGAAGCAGCGACTGTGGCCAGTGCGATTGTGCTGGAAACAGAGGGCGGCGGTTCGCTGGCTGAGGAGGATTACGAGAGCATACAGAGCCCGTACAGGTACTCGCGCCAATCCCCCGCGTCATGTCCTGACATTCTGCATGTTCTATTAGGGGAGTATCGTGGCGTGCGCCACAAGGGTGTAATAGCATCTGCCTGCACTGCCATCGTGCAGCGGGCGGCGCTTTGAGCCGCCTTCTGCGCTTGGGCTCAAAGTCTCATCACAGGTGCCCAGGCGTGGCCCTCCGGCCGCGGCCGGACGACGGTGTGTCGTCAAAGGACCTTTTCTCGACGTTGGAGGTGAGGCAGAGCCACGGTATATTGTGAGGGCACCCGTCCGTCGTATTGGTAGATAGTATGTACCTGACACTTGAAGAAAGCAGAGCGTCTCAGCACCTCCGCATGTCCGCGTCGCCGCGCCTTTCAGGACTCGCCTACCGTCATCAGTGAAGACGTCAAGCGCACAGACATGAGAGGCCAGGACTGCGGTAACTCATGTGGCGATCGCCAACACTGTGGAGCGCCCCTGCTATCCCTGGACTCCAGGGATTTGTATTGTCGCGTGTCCGGGTGTTCAGTCATACATATCTCCGCCTCAGACAGACGAGGAGCCAACTAGAACAGGTGAAATATCGGGATGAGTAGCAGACGGAGTCTGGAAATTGGCTGTTCCGGCATTCCGGTCCATGGCTTTGCTTTTAGTACAGTGTGGCCTGAACCCAAACGGGGGCGGGTCTGTTGAGCTCGTTTACAATAATTGAGCCTCTGGGGCTCTCAATAGCAAAATAGGTTTTCTGCGTGAACGTCGACTCAAAACGTCGTTCTCGCGATAGCAGTGACTGCAAGCAAGGATGACTAGTGATGCACGCGACAAGAGGCTGGTTCACGATAGTATAATTATTGGCGCGAGGCGTGCATAGATTCACTTGCGCTCGGTATGCCAGGCCACGCGGTTGGAAGCGGTCCAGGAAATTGAGGTGAAGAGTATGACGACGCCCAAATAGAGTTGGCCAAATCCTCCTGCGTTCGACGCGACAGCTTGTCGGTAGGGAGTGCAAGAGCGAGGCGACTGTGGCGCCGCCAACCCAGGCACGAAAAAGCCAAGGGGTCGCGAGTGCACAGGGCAGGAGCAGCTGGCCCGAGACCACTATCCCTGTGTCCCGTACACGGCCAGTGACCCAAGACCGAGCAAGTCCAGGGCGAGCTTCCATCTGCAGGCCAGCGCGGGTTGAGGTATACGGGAAAGGTGGCGCTTCAGGGCGACAAATTTACTTGGTCGATGGCCCATGGCATCCATGTCACAGGATCGCGACGACTGGATGTGACCTCCCAGTTACACCCAGGAGCTTGGGTATACGACAGACGCACTCAAAGTGCGGTGCTGACCGACTTTTGCACCCCACGCCACGTTGCTGCCCAGGTCCAAGGTCCCTGGGCGGACGGCAAGCAGGTGCCAGCCAAGTAACCTGATGGCGTTAGGCGTGGCTTTGACCCTGGCTGTGTTGATCGACCACCCCCGCGTGAGAGTGATGAGTCCCGCAACGCACGCCACGGTTGATGAAGAGGTGTGCGGGCTCATCTAGCCGCAGCGCGCGGTCGATCACGCCCATTGACAGACAGGAGGCCCGGCAGCACTTCTTGCTGCAGTAGCAAGAGCCGGGGTGTGGGGTCAAGGGTGCTGGCGGACAGTGCCGGCAGAAGGTGCCGGCACGGGGCAGGCGGTAGTCGATGGATCCTCCATCCCATCTGTCAGGCTACGGGTGTCTTGGCGGGAGCGCTCGCTGCCAGCTGAACGCTAGTCACCGGCTCGTCTCTGAGAGGACGAAATATAAGAGCCATCCGTGCCGCCAACGTCGACCCCAGTCATCTCGATCCTACCCCGTTCAGCCCTCGACATCACGCCGGCCACAGAGGCTAGCCACATCTTCACGTCCCTCGTCTTCCATCCCATTCTCCGCACATATCTCTATCCGCAGACTCGTCCGACACACGCCTCTCGCTCTTTCCCTCAGCCAGCTGCCGGTCTTGTCTCACTAAGTCTCCGACAAGCCGACGGCGACATCATTGCATCACCGTCCTTCTCCCCACTCTGTACCCACTGCATCACACCTACTTAATACCCACCTCCCTCGCACTGGTTCTCTCTCTCCTCACCATGGGAATCGGTCTCTTCCAGCGTAGCCGCAAGGTATCCAAGTCCAAGTCCATGTCACCACCACCCTCCCGTCTCGATAAGCTTAGCCTGCGGGTACTGGTCGACTCAGGCCCCAATGCTCGCGAAGTCATTGTCATCAGCATCAACGGGTTCGACTCCGTCGACGCGATCCGCTCAGCCGTCACTGCTCAGATCGGTCACCACTCTATGAGCCTTTTCAAAGTGAGTCCGACCCTTGGCGGTCATCCCCGCTCGCCGCCATTCCCTGTCGATCCCCCGCCCCGCCCATACCTTGATAATATCATCCTCAATCGACCTCAGCCACTGACTCTCCTCAGGTTTCTATCCCATGGCAGGCAAATTACCAGGCCTCAGCCTACACCGAACGATACGGGGTGCCAGCATCCCTCCTCTCTGTCTTCCCCGGTCACAGCCTTGACGACCCTGCACAGCTGTCGGCCAGCGGCGGCCTGCGACTTCCGGCGTATGCGCCTGGGACGGGTTCACTACGGTCCCGTCGCTCTGTGCGCTGGAGCTCCGCTGCTTACACGCCCACCGTGCGTGATTGGTTCCCGGCGGGCGGCAACGCCGAGGCCATCGATGTTCTCGTCCGGACAGCGTCGTCATCCGCCTCGTCCCCATGCGTCCCCGTGACTCTCTCCGCGCGCTTCACGTGTGCTTCCTCTTCCTATCCTGCCGAAGAGGTTATTCTCGTCGACATTGCCCCCACAGCGACCGTTGCCGAGCTCAAGGTTGCCCTTCTTCTCGCTGCCGGCCGGCCGGCGCCCTCGGGAAGACTCGGCAGCTTGACCCTCTGGCGCGTTGACATGTCAGCTTATGACCTCGCCTACCTCGACGCACAGGGCGCCCTCGACGATGGACAGCGCCCAGCTCCTCTACCCCGCAGCATGGCTCCTCCCATTCCTCTTCAGGACCCGAACGCCCGCGTCGAAGACTACTTTAGCTCGCGCTGCTCTCGCGCCGATCCCTTCCACATCGACATCAGCGCGCACATTGCCGACTCCGCTGTCACAGCCCTTGCTCCTCGTACTATCGCGCCGCCCTTCACCTACCCCATGCCGGCATATCTTCTGGAAGCCCCGCGTGAGAGGCAGCGCAGCGTTGCTCCTCTCCCTACCGACAGCTATGGCTACAGCAACATTTCAGCATGGGCTTCGGCCACTGAGTGCGCAACGGATTTCAACCTCGTCGCCGCAGAGTTCACCTACCCCTCCCCCCGGCTTCCTGAGGCAGACGAGGATGCTGGCCGTCCTTTCGTTTGCGCCGTCGGTTATGAGAATCTGGGCTCGCCCGGCCTTATTGGCCTTGGCATCACCATGTCGCCGGCCCCAAGCACCGACACATGCTCTTCGCGGGACGAGGAGTGCGTATCGTGGCCGCCTACTCCCCGCATGCCGAATGAGGGCACGTTTGAGGACGCTTCCGTCACCGCTCTCTCGCTTGGGTGGACCCCGGTGGTCAAGGACGAGTCGCAGACTCCTAAGCATCTCCAAACAATGTTTGTACCTCCTACTCCCACTTTCGCCTAATATGTAACATAGCACTCGGCTTGTACTCTACTTCATTTAGCATTGCATGTACCGTTGCGAGACTGAAGGCGAGAGGGAGAGGGAAAAAGCGAGCGTGCCACACTGCCGGTTGCTGACAGGAGAATCATACAACAGCGCTGCCTCAAACGGGATTGCGCAAGGTATGCACCTCCCCCTTGGACTCGTCAGTCAATCTACTCTCCCGTACAGGTCCTGTGTCGCCCGCCCAGTTCTGCTCGCACGACCTTGAGACACACTCATCACGTCGGAAGTGGAGCGCGGCACACAGGGACAATTTGTGACCCCTATCTCCAGCCGCGGCTAATTTTCTGGGAGAAGATGTTGCTCATAACCGCGGCAGCGCCGTGAAACCCGGGGTCGGAAGATACGGACCTTCCAACGGGGCAGCACAGGGAAGCTGGAAAATGCTCGGACATATGTGAGAGAGGTGGCGCATTGAGTGGGGGCAAATGAGTAGCACGTCGCGGACGGGTGGGGGTGATGAGACAGGGGTGCGTACCCCGCAGCGGCGATTATAGCGCGGATCCACGGCTCTGATGCATCGGGCTGCTCTTCTGGAGTTCTCGGAGCCCAGGCTGGAGCTCAAGTGTGCCATCAACGAACGTGGTGCGGGGCTGAGACATGGCGGAGCGGTGACGGCGCATGGCCCGGTTCTTGGCATACCCAGACTTTCCCATACTATAATGCCTCATAGCCCATAAGTCTCCGATCACGGAGCGAGTAAGCCCCGTCCCAGTCGGATCAGCGACTCCGGAGCGCTGGGTTGCCGGAAAGGTTGTCTCTTCCACAGCAGATTTTGGCATCAGATTCCGATGACCGAGCTCTGGGCAACATTTGTTGAAGATCACAGAGATGGTGAACTCGACGCGCCGTTGAGCAAGGAGAAGCACTTTGTGCGCTTCTATATAGACAAGCTACGCCAGATAGTAGACGGACTTGGTGAAGCTTTGACTCGCCGTTGTCGTGGTTCTGCCGCACACGTCACCAACCCTTTCACCCGGCGTCCGCTCAGACCAGGAAAACGCCCGACATCAGCTGACCGCCACATGTCGAGGTCACAATCTTTCCATAGCTCGGCGTAACTGGCAATTCATTCGGTCTTACCATGTTTCCCGTCAGCCGAGACATTTCTGCAGCTCCCCGTCGCTGCACCAAGCGCCAACTGAGACATTGTTCCAGCTCCCTCAGCTGCAGCAACCCATTTTTCCGAGCATAACGCGCAACCCAGGTATTGAACGAACACTGCGGACGGCCATATGTGGTCGCCCGAACTGGTCTAGGAAAGAGGAGATCTCTCGAAGATAAAAGGAGATCTTCAAGAGATCAGATCTCCTCTCATCCGCAAAATTCAGCGTAAATCAGTAAACAGGAGAGGGAAGCTTAACGAGTGGAGCGTTCTTGTCAACGGAAAGAAGGGCGGGGTATCCAAGCGATCAGGTGACGGGACGTGTTTTTCGATTTCTACTATTTGTATTTCGAAGTGGCGGAAGATACGGTGACTTTGCATAGCTTCTTTGCACGAGGTTGCAGGGCTTCTATTAATGAGTGTCCACATGTAGCCCGCTAGAATGCATTACGAGACAACTGAAAGCCTCGCTCCCGCTGCGTTTCGGCATGTGGCGTGTCACACGCGCCACACACACGAGGAGGAAAAGCCTGATAACACGTCCAAAGCATTGACAGCTCTACCATCTGAAGCGCGGATCATCCAAAACAATAACCGCTCATTAAGATAGGCGGGCTCGGTGGATCCTTGGGTGGAATGTTGTGTTGAGCGCGTTGAGCTTGTAACAGCTTCGTGCCACAGTGCCCCGTGTCCAGACGGTCAAAGCAAGAGTGCGCCACACGGGAGATGACGAGATGACGGGCGTGGCCACGGAAATCCGAAGAGATGAACAGAAAAATCGAAGCAGTAACGCGTACGACTACCTCGATGGAGCAGTCTTCGCTTCCATCCCAATGCGCCACCATGCCGCAAGCTTCGTCCATAGCGAAGTGGGGAGAAAAATCTAAGGGCAGTACGATCACCTCCCGGGTTAGCGCGCCACGCGGAAGATCAAGACAACAACCATAGATGTGGCGGTTAGTGAGGCGGGGGTTGCCGCATCATGGTTGCTCCGCGAACCGACTCAGGACAACAGACATGGGCAGGCGCGTCTCATGCCCCCCCCCCCCCCCCCCCCCCCCCCCCCCCCCC